CAGGACAAGTGGCCGTTGGAGAGCATGTGAGATGCCAGGTCCTCCACGCGGTCACCGGCTGAGCTGTAACGACACACGCCTTCGGCAGAGGGGACAGTGGGGCGTGGCCGTGGGGGTCCTGGAATGAGTCGGGTGAGGAGAAAGACACAGGCAGCTTCGGCCGAATTGAAGAAAGAGGCAGCACGGCCCAGCTGAAGTCTTCGGGGGGCCGCACGCTCGAGCTCCGGCTCTGGTGAGCGGGGTCTCCAGGCGGCGCTCAGGGAAAGCGCCTTCTACGCTTGTGGAAGTCAGCAAAGTGCAAGCGGGGACGGCCCCGAACCCCGCACAGTGAAAACCCCACCGGGAGAGGAGCGAGCTGGTTGGCGGCCACTCGCCTGTGTTCCACTGAGTTTCCCATTTTTGCCCAGTTCCACACTCTGCCCCAAGGACGCCCTGCACCCCTTCCCGCGACCTGGGCCCTGCCCGCCGTCGCTGCCTCTCCATTCCAGCCTCCGCCCCCTTCCCCTTCATCTTTCCTTGGTTTATTTCATATTTGGGGAACCGAGATCTCCACGGGGTCATCTACCGCGGCCGCTGTGGGGGAGGGGACACCGCTCCCGCGAGAACCCGTTTCTCCAGTCGCGGGCTCCTCCCTGGAGCAGGTCCAGTAAGCTGTGACCCTAGGGGCCTCAGCGGGGCGTGAATGGAAGGAGGGTCTCCTCTGGAAGACTGGCTCAAGGTGCCACACGACTCAGCTCCTGGCAGCCGGCCAGCCCTGGCACAGACGGCCGGTCTCATCAGACAGGCCAGGTCGGAATGTGGTTCTGCCTTTAAGCGGCTCCATGAGCCCGGGACACCGCAGCCCGCAGGCCCCGTCCCTGGAGTGGAGCTCGTGGCGAGTTCATCGCACATGTCGGAGGAAGGAAGGACTATGGTGTCTGGACACCGGTGAGCAGGCAGCGGTGTGAGTGAGCACAGCCATTTGTGGTCGGGTGGTGGTCACTGGACCCCTGTCCCTGCGGCACACGTCCCGCGTCCTGTTCCATGAGCCCAAGTGTCACACGCCCCCGGCGGCTTGCAGACGTCGACGCCGAGGCACGGCTCAGGGAAGTGGGCCCAGGGCAGGACGGGGCCCGGGGCTGCCCCGCTGGGGTTCCGTGCTGGCCTCGAGGGAAGGTGGCGGAGAAATGACGAGGTCAAGACAGAGCGGACGGCACCTGCTCCTGGCGCCCCCACGCCCGGACCAGAGTCCCAGCCCGGGAAGGGCTACGGGGCGGCCTCCAGCTCCGCGAGGCGGCCGTGAAAAGGCCCCTAGCAGCCCCTCCTTGAGAAAGTGAGTCATGCTTTTACTTTAAGAAATAGTTATTTTTTTAAGCTACTGCAGATCCAAAACTCTGGCAACCACCGAAAAAAAAATTCAAGTGAACACTTTGCTATTTATTTTACTGTCGATGTGTTTGCTACATAAATAAATAAAACTTACTCTATCAGCCAACTCTTCAAAGGATCTGTTGTTACAGGGAGTGAAATAAAAAGAATATTGTGGAACCAGGTTTTGCTCGGAGCCTGAACACATAAAACTCAGAATCACTCCGCGGCGGCTCCAATGTCCTCGTGCTGTCGAAATCTGCTCTTAATTTGGAAATATGTCACTGGACCCCTTTAATTTTCCATTAAATGTTGCCTACCCCATGCCATGCGGACGAGGAGCCGGTCCTGAATGCAAATGGCAGGTCCCGTGAAGAGTGGCCAGGAGTCGGGCGGCCCGAGGGACGGAGGCCGCAGCCGCCGGGAACGCGTGAAGGGCTGTGAGCGGGTGTGAACCGCCCCCGTCTGTGCCCGCGCTCGTCACCGGCCGCCCCTCCATCGTCCTTCTACTGCCATCGCTCGCCGTCACCACGTGCCATCCCCGTCCCCCGCCCTCATCCACCGCTTCTGCAATATTTCACCCGAGGGCGTCCCCTGGCCCTCCCAAGCTGACTTTTAATTTCGTGCTGCTGGATGCGCTGACATCCGAAGGGCCCATGCAGAGAACCTGCTGGGAGCTGGGTGGGCCCTCAGAATGCCCGTGTGAAGCCCCAACCCCAGCGGGATGGCATTCAGAGACGCTTCGGGGGGCCCAGAGCCATGGGGCTCCGGGACGGGACCAGCACCCAGACAGGAGGAGACACGGGGCTCCCTCTCTCTCCGCCTCGTGAGGGCATGGCGAGGAGCTCGTCAGCGAGCCAGGAAGAGGGGCTTCCCCGGACCCTGGTCTCGAACTTCCGGCCCCCAGAGCTGGGAGAAACACATTTCTGCTGCCTGAGCCCCGGTCTGCGGGACTTGTCATGGCCGGAGCCGACTAGCATAGAACCCAGGTGGCCACGTGCATGGCTGGCTCCGGGCCCTCCCAGCCTCGTCCCCCAGGCCAGCGGGTTTGCCTTGTCCATCCTCCTGGATCCACGTGAGAACCAGGGTGGAACCCCAGGAAACATCGCATTTTCGGGTGCTGCTTTCGCTTCACTCGGTGGATGAAGGTGAGGGTCACCAGCACGAGCCCCGCCTGGGCCCGCCGACCCAACCCAAGGAAAGAGCCCCATGAGCCGTCAGCCCACGCTTCTCCCCCAGACAAGTGTTCACATGCCGCACACACCTCCATCGTGACTGAAGCCACTTGGGCTGAGCCATCACTTCGGCTCTGGGCAGTGGCATCCTGTGGCCTACCCAAGTCCTCGCCCGCTGCTCGCCCAGACCTGAGGGGTTCAGACGCTCCGTGGTGGTGCCATCAGGTCCTACGTAAATGTTACCTCTGCGAGCCAGGTCCCAGGCCACTCTGCCTGCCATCCCCCATCCTGCCTTCATACTAGGCTGTGCAGCAGACTCCGCTCTGCTCGGGGGCCTTCCAGGACCCGGATTGGGGGTCTGGAGCCTCGCGCTTGACAACAGGATATGGGGCGAAGGGAGGTTTCGGTCGGTTTGGTTTGGTTTTCGGCTGGGAGACCCGAGAGCAGGCTGGGCTGACGGAGGATGCCGGGACCAGCACGCGGGGACCATTGAGGCTCACAGTGTCAGGGGAGGTGGAAGAGACGGCATCGGACGTGTTCATCCCAAAACTTACAAGGAAGGAGTCGTCACAGCCCTCGCGGGCCGGTCGTGAACGACAGCTCAGCTCACCGAAGCCTGGACGCTGCTGAGACAAAACCCAACATGCAAACCAGCAAGTCCCAGGGCAGGTTTCAGGCGTGGGGGGGGGGGACGCTGCTCAAAGCTCGGGCGATGAAATAGTGAAAATATCTGACAACCAGAATGATGCCGCAGCGTGGCGGATCTGTGACAACGCGGGGGTGCCCACTGCCGGAGCCGCGGTCCCCGGCCACGAGCCGCAGTCCCCAGCCACGGGCCCTCCGTCCATGTCCCCCCAGTTGTTATTGCTGACCGTTCTCTGGGACACGGCTTGATAGTGGTAAGTAATGCCAGCACGTAATTTATTTCTCGATATTCCTTCAGCAGACATATTTTCCACCATCACCATCATCACCACCATCATCACCATTATTGTCACTATTTCCATCACCGCAGGCCCCTGAGTTTAGTGTCATATACATTCCTACTTTCTCTGGCGTAGCTTTGTCGTTGGCATGATTGGGCTGTCCACTTGGCAGTTTATGATTATGTCAGTTCTTTCTGCACAGATTACAAAAACTGACACTTTCCACCTCGATAACTTAGAAAATTGTGGGTGTGACATTCATGGGCATGATTTATGAGCGAGTCAGCGCACATCTGAATGATCCCCAACTTGGAGAGTCTTGCCAAGGTTGCAGAACGAGAGAAAGAGGGCGGGGAGGGGGTTGGGGAGAGAGGCGCCCATCACTACAAACAGCTCGGTCAGGTACATGAGGAAACAGATTTCTGCTTCGAATTTGCGATCCTAATATTTTGCAATAAGAACCATCTGCTCCGGCCCAGCCGCCCTGGCTCGCCGGCCGCCCCTCCTGCTCACCCACCTTCCCTTCAGCTCATTCGGCCTCCCGGTCACTTCCTCCTCTCCGACCTGCCCGGATCCCAGTCCCAGCCCCACCCCCGGTGTTTCCTGGCAGCTCTTTCCTCTAACTTCATTTCCAGTATCGTCTCAACTGCACAGCTGACATGCTAAGATCGAGTTTTGCCAAGATCACTCTTCTGAGTAGAGAAAAAGCGGGGCAGGAGGGGACGTAACAGGAGAGAGTGGAGAATCCCGGAGGAAGCATGACAGCGGCCACGGCAGCACAATGACCAACGGCTGACACCGCTGTGGGGTGTGTTTGACAGGTGCTCAGAGAGGAGATCCTAAAAGTTCTCATCACAGGGGAAACGCCTTCATCTGTATCAGATGATGGACGCTGCCTAAACTTCTCACCGTGCTGACCATTCCACAGTACACGTCAGCCAAGTCGTCATGCTTAGATTTACACAGTGTGTGCGCCGGTCATATCTCGATCGGACTGGACGACTAAGAAGAGGCTACCGCGGTGGTCCGAGTGGAATAGAGCGGGTCTCAGCAGGGACGGGGCGCCGGGGCTGGCAGACGGGTGGCGGCTTACGTAGGGCTCCGAGCTGTGCGGCTTCGTGAGCAGCGTCAGCTTCAATCAAAACGAGCCGCGTCCTCGTTCCTTCCCTGGCCCGCCGCAGCACGTGCAGCGCGAGAGCATTCGCAGCACTCGAGGGGGCTCACTCAGGGCACGGCTGTTTCACCTCGGGACGAATACCGCCCCCGGTGCCAGCCCTGGCACTTCCCGCACGTTAACTCACGGGACCTCCCCCCGGAGGTGTGCGTCACCGCCGGCCCGACGTGCGCCCCACCGCCGGCCCCGTTTTATGGAGTGGAACTGAAGCCGGAAAAGGGGCGGTAACTTGTTCAAGTCACGTGGCTGTCGGGGCAGAGACAGAATTCAAGTTCCCCGTCCCCGCCTCCCTGATGGCAGACACCCCCAAGATTAAAGCATTATAAAACTCTGTATTTAGCCAGAAAGAAAAGGCTAACGCCAGTTTTGATAGCATATTTTATTTTAATCTAAGAAAAATGATTAAATTCAGAAATATAAAAGATTATCCAATGAGTTCAGGATCATAAGTGTTTCTTAAGCAATGATGACACACACTCGAGCTGGTTTTGCGGCCCCAAACTTTCAGTGTTCATGTCGCACAGTTTAAATACGTAAGAAGCCTCGTAAAGCATCTTCATGCACATTCACAGAGCTCACGCGACATGACACGTGCTGGGTTGGGGGTTGGGGGCGTGACGGTCTTTTTCCACCCAGAGCTCGGAGCTCAGCATCACCACGGGCCACATGCGGCCCTCGGCCCCACGGAGCGTGGTCGCTCGCGGCCAGTGGGGCCAGCTCTGCGGGCAGCAGCTGGTTGTGCCGCAGGCCAGTCCCCGGCTCACAGTGTGAGCCTTCGGTCCCTGGCCCTTCACTCACAAGGGCCACTCAGAGGAGGTTCCCAAGGCCAGCCCTACGCCCTTGAGGCTTCCAGAGGAGAGAGGGGAGCACACTCCGACAGGCACCGCTCAGACCGGGCCGCCCAGGGCACAGCAGAGCTGGCCGCGCCTCTTTAAGGAGGCCGTCTGCAATTTGGGTGACAATTTACAGTGGGTCCGACTGGGCCGCAGTGGGGTGTGTACGGCCGGGTGGGGGGAGGGGGCGGCAGACACGTGTGCCTACAGTGACCTTCTGACCTGGCTAGCACACCCATGCGTGCACGAGGTGGACAGCACCGCAGCAGGTGACAAACTCCTACGGAGTCACGAGGCCCCGACGTGACTGAAGGAGGCCGTGAGCACAGTCGGCTTCGAAGGCGGCAGATGGGCGCGGGCGTGAGCATGCGGCGAGGGGCAAGGCACGCGGCCCGGTTCTGCCGTTAGCGCGTCGGCCCAAACCCACTGGGAGCACGGCTCCACTGAGGACAGACCCCAGGGCCAAAAGAGGACACATACATCGTGTGCGACCGTCTTCTGAAGCCGGCCCCACCCTCTTCACAGATGAAAGCGGTCCGTTTAAATATCTCGTTTCTACAGAGTGAATTTACATTTAAAGTACAAAGTGCAAATACTATGTGTTTTTGTTTCGGGTTTTTTAATTGCTTTTTGGTGAGGGTCTCCCACACGTCTAGGAAGTGCCCCGATGTGTCGGCCTCTCATCCTTGCTTCCTCGGCTGGAAGAGAAAAGATAGAAATAGAGGGGTCGTTAAAAGTCTTGTGTCCCTCGGCCGTGGAGACGACGCGATGTTTTCTAGGTGTGGAAGGGGGTGCTGGGGTGATCACTGGGTGTTGGGATTATTAACAAGACACAGTAAAAACATCTAGATGCTTAACTTCTAACGCTTCCCTCCCTCTTAACGATCGGAAACATCAGAAAAATATAACGGTTGACAAAATTAGCACTGACTCCTAATGTCGTGAGTGGACTCGACGTAGTAAATCTGCAAACGCTCCTATCACTGTGGATTTATCATCCAAAAACAATTTGAATAACATAATTGCGGCTTCAAATCTGACAGACGTCATCGTTTTTTCCCATTTTTCCTTCCATCTTTTCCATTCACTACGTGCCTAAGAACCACAACTCGAAACGCTTGTTTTAATGACTAGAATTCTGCCACCTCACTGCCGACTCAGAGCGATGCAGAAGCAAAGGAAAGGCTGTGGACGATCTTCTAGATTTATTTTTCCCAAGTGTACCGGTTCCTGCTGGCACGAGCTGCTCCGCGCTCCCACTTCGTTATGTAAAACGACTCAGCGTCAGCGTCGAGGTTTCTGGCCGGCGTTTATTCCCCGGATAAAGGTGAGCTGGTGGCGGGAAGGAGTGTCTGCGGCATCCCACTGGCGAGGAGCCGGCTCCCGTTTGTGACAGACGGCGGTGGCCACTGACGCGCCCCACCGTGGCTGCGCTGGTCGGAGCTGTCCCCACATCACACTGACGCCCAGGCCGGCTCGAGGGACCGCTCCGCCATCTCCGAGCCACGGCGGGAGCCAGGGAGAGCCAGGAAGGCGGCTCGCCGTGAGGTTCAACAGCAGCTCGCGCGTCCCCACGTCCTGGCGTTTACTAGGCCCGTCCGTGGTTACTCATGCGGCGGAAGGTTCCGGCGGCTGGCGCCGTTTTCTCCTTCAGAGTATTTATGGTCTTCGACTGTTTCATCGAATGCAAACCGCAGCTGGCTCACACTTCGGGACTTAAGCCCGGGGTCACTGTGGTAATGGCCCTCGAAACGGAGGCGTGGCGGTCAGCCTTGTCACTCACAGGCCACGAAGGAGCTGGACAAGCGGCTCTCACTTCCTTTTCTGGGAAGAAGCTCGAGAGCGGGCGCGGGCTCCGCACCGAGCTCGTTGAGATGGGGAGGGCGCGGGGCGAGAC